TCACCGATTCCAGTCTCCACCGGCGTCAGGCCAAAGCATTGCTCCTCTTCTGCCAGGGGTGGTATTCTACCCTGCCCTGTGGATTGGAATTACTCTACCCTACTCTAACTGAACTGTAGACCGTTATACCTTCTCATAATTCTGAGCGATTGAAAACAATACGCAAATGTTCTAATTAAACCTAGTAATTTACTGGTTTTCTAAAACCCTAACATGTTGAACCAATTCTATTTACTACATTCCTGGTTCGTACTTGAGATGCTTGTAGTCTGATCAATGACTCAGGAAATTAAAATTCTTTCAAACTAAAGAGCCAAATATTTTCTAATTTAAAATAATGAAAAACTAGGATAATGTTATAATTTTAATGTTTTAAACGATTGATAATTTCACTGTTTTAACAAGCACAATGTTGGTCCTATTGATTTGCGTACAGATTTTATCCAATTACATTTTCCATTAAAGTTTGCACATACAACTAGGAAAAGAAACTTCTCTTTACGTTTGCCTTATCACTATTCGACCTTAAAACGAGTGCAACTACGATTTCCAGATTTTAAACGTTTTTTAAGCACCTGGCGGGTACAAGGGAAATGTAGGAACGACGAGAAGAGATGGAGTCGTGAAGATCAAGACCACGGTGATGTGAAGTCCAGCTACGCAAGCACAAAAGTACGTCACCACACACTTCTGTTGATTCACAAGCACGTTTCCTACACACGCATTTCTTAGCAACGCAACGGCTCATTTGAGCCCTACCACTTGCACACCAAGCACGATTTCCAAACTTCTTCAGAGCTCACCCATCACTTCACAACTCTGTATTCCTACGATTCGTAAAATCACGTATCAAAGAACTGCATCAATGCTACTCAACTTTTTCACGCGATACTTCACAGAAATATTTGAAAATATGAATTTTCTATTTAAATCTTCTTTCACACCCCACTTTGCACAAATATTAATCCGCTTCTAATAGCTCTGGATAGTCTATTTACACGTCACATGCATTTGTTCCACGAACACTAAAAAAGAATATAACCACAGTGACTTGGAGGACAATCACAAATACTCCTAACTTCTCTACAACCCAACACGAAATGAGCGAGCGTTGGGCGGGTTCGAGTGCTGTGCAGAACAGGAGGCGGTGCAGCGATTGGCTACCGCTTTTCCAGGGAGTGAACAGCAGGGCGGTTACCAAGATAATAAAATAAATTGAGCATTTTTGCGGTTATTTATAGTTTGGATGATTGAAAAGAAGTATAATATTTAATATTACTAAACAGGTGTATCAGCCTATTTATCATAATATATTTCTGATCTATTCGCTTGAAAAACATTTGCGGGAAGTGTATCTCCTACTTCTAGTGCAAAGAACGTAACTATTAGGACTAGCTGTAACGAGATAGTAATTTTTTTCTGCAAAAAAAATTAATGGTGTTAAAAAAGAAACAAACTTACTCGTACTATATACTTCCCTATTATTTTGAGTTGAAACTACCTTGTCGATTTTGCCTCATTTCCTTGTTTGCCATCAATCTGCCATTGTCTGCGTCGACGAGGCCTAGTAGGGTTTCCCACATTACGTAACTACCAATCCATTCGTTACAACCAGTAACGAATTCCTTGAATCTCCATGAACGGCACGCCGTAGTCTTTGGGCACATTTCTGTTCTGTATCATTGCGCATCGGGTTACTCTCTCGGGTTATATACTCTCTGCACCCATCACTTCACAACACTATTCCTGCGATTCGTAAAATCACTTATCAAAGAACTGCAACAATGCTACTCAACTTTTCACGCGATACTTCACAGAAATAATTTAAGATATGAGTTTTCTATTTCAATCTTCTTTCACACCCACTTTGCACAAATATTAATCGGCTTCGAATTGCTCTGGATATTTAGCGTCGCTATTTAGCGAACTTTCGGAAAATAATTAAACATAATTAAATGCTCCACAGAAATTATATGTCAGTTAATTGACGAATACAACTTTAGAAATGGCCGGGCTTAAATAGAACCAGTTCTCGCAATAATTGAAATATAGAAGACTAATTTACACTCATAATATTTAAGATATTTATCTGCAAGGTTTTCGCTATCACAAATACAACCTTCGCGTTCGCCTTTTACCCCACGGTGTTTCCTTGGCACGGGCTACTCATGACCTCGCAAATGTATGCGTGCCGCAGAGCTTTCTGAGCTGAGACAACACCTGTGCCTCCTGGGCCGATTAGAAGCGTGATCAGCGAAACACGAAATGCACGCCACATGGACCAGTACGTGAAAGTTGCGGCTACGCTGCGGAAACGCCAGAGTTCCAGCACATATGCTTGCCAGGCCTGAGACACGAAGAGCAATGGCCCCGGCCTCCAGATAGCTGATGAAGCAAACAAATACAATAACACTGCAACAAATACAAATTCCAATATTAGAGTGTTATACAACAATTCGAGACAGAGCCCTTTCAAACGTGGGAATGTCTCACAAATCTGGATCAAATACAAAATTAATACACAGGCAGAACGCGTTAGCAAATCCCCTTAAAAGGAGAAAGCAAATAAGTTGGTGCAAATAACCTAAAATAGGTCTTTTATTTACAATAAAATCTCATTTAATTATCAGGTACACATTTAATATTAACGTGGCAGTGAGCCACGGCGAGAACAAAAAAATTACACATCTAGTGGAGCTTTTAAGAAATAGTACATTTCTATCAATTTAACGTAGTTTTAAGATTACTGGCCTGCAATGCTAAGACCGCGCTGAGTGAAGTTTTTTCGCTCGTATTTATAGAAATATCACAAGCAAGCATCCTTCCGAAGTAGTCTAATTGCTGTAGTGGATTATTTTCACAGCCCATGCCCTCTGTGGGCACTGAGTGAATTACAGAATGACAAATGAGTAATACGAAACATCAATATTGACAGCAACAACCCTGCTCTCTAGGTGCCAATGGCCGTACTAGATTCACAGAACCATCACAGAGAAAAATATTCAATCTTGATACTAAACAGGAAAATACACAATGTTGCAAATCAAATCCCGGTTGCAGAATGATTCAGGAGTGATTATTGATTAGTTTTAACAAGCCAGAAATTACACAGAGCTTGTATTTTGATTACAATAAATAATTCAATAGGTGTTATATTAGTTTAATATAATCACGCCTAAAAGTCAAAAGGAAATATAAAGAACAACTTGAAAATTAAACAGATGGCACAGTACAATCCATTTTTCCCCTTTTTTAGCATAGATGATGACATGTTCAATACAAGTAAAGAAAATACGGATGGTACAACAATTTTAGGACGAAATATAAAATTTATGAACCACCAACAGAGTTTCTTCATGCTGAAATATGACAATGATAGTTATTGTTTGAGGACTGGAAATACGCAGAGATAAAAAATAGTTAACTACTTTTAAATACAAGGAGGTGGGCACGTGGTCTCTAAAACCTTTGGATACGTCACTAACATCTACTGTCCGCGACATTTGTTTGGAGATCAGAATAGAACTAGTGGTGTTACAAAATGGCATAGCCTTTCTCATATTAGTTTTCTATTTCCTTTTGTAACACTTAGATGTTCTGACTTGCCACACACTCATGCCAGCTGCACCTATCGCCAGCTGTCATTCGTTTTACATTTTCTTACTTTTTGGTTTATTAATAGTAGAACGGAATTATAAAAAATTATAAAAACATTAAAAACTCGACCTAAATGGCCATTTGTTTGTAAGATTTAAAGGAAATATTATTTAAGCGCTACTAAAATTTTGAAATTTAGCCCATTTTTACAGACAATTTTTATGTTTTTGAAAATCTTCATTAAAAGTCATTTGAAGCACATCTACTCACAAATACAATATTGTTTTACAATTTGCTGGATATGTGCATATTGACGCCGTGAGAGACCTTTCAAAATAGTATCTTTGTGTAATCTTTGTATACATTTGTGTATTTTTTTTAAAACAGGAGGAATACAGCAAAATGTATTTTATGACATCATAAAGAGTTTAATTTGCACTATCCATACGAAAATTTGAATAAAAAATTTTGAGCGTTTTCAGAAAATGGCACTTGAGCGTTTCTGAAAATGCGGAATTTTGACCTAGTTTTTACAGAAAAGGTTTCAATGCAAGGTACTTACAATACACATTTCTCATACGCATAAGGCAAAGGATGACTTTTTCATAAAATACATGAATTTTAAATCACGTCAATGTTCCTAGAATTGATTTTTGTTGCATAGTTTCTGAAATATGCGAGTTTCTTTTTTGTCTTAAAAAATGATGGTTCAAAATCGCATTTACAAAAATTGCATTTTCCAGCAGATTTTTATTAAAAGGGAAGAAAAAATGTTATTTTGACAAATGTAAATTGAAATATCATTTATAGAATATAACAATTAGTTAAGAGTATATGCGATAATGTCTCGTTAAGAAGAGGCTCGTCTCCTGACAGGCAGATCATCGCGCTGTCTCCCTTACATGTATATTAAGGAAAACAAGCAAAACAAGAAAAAGTATTATTTAGAAAAATGTTATTTTTGCAATTGTATATTGAAATATCATTTAAAAATACACAATTTAGGGAATACTATAACCGGCAAGACCTAGTTAAAAAGAGGGTTGTCTCTGGGTAGGCAGATGATTGCACTGCTAATGAACTACACCTAATTTTAAGAAATCCAGCAAAACAAGGAAAAGGATTGTTTGAAAAATGTTATTTTGACAATTGTATATTGAAATATTATTTGAAAAATATATCATTCAGGTAATATTTTAAGCGATAATGCCTCGTAAAGAAAAGGCTCGTCTCTGGGTAGGCAACTCTTCACACTGCCTCGCTTACATCTAATTTTATCAAATCCAACGAAAGAAAAAGGATTTTAAAAAAAGTCATTACGACAATTATATTTTTCAAATGATATTTATATTTACAACATTCAGTAAATTGTTTAAGCGATAATGCGTAGTTAAGAAGAAGCTCGTGTCTGCGTTGGCAGATGTTCACGCTGCCTCGCATATATCTAATTTTAAGAAATCCAGGAAAACAAGAAAAATGATGTTTAAAAATGTTATTACAAGTGTAAATTGAAGTATAATTTAATGAAAAACACATTTAGTGAATAGTATAAGCGATAAAACCTCGTTAAGAAGATGCTTGTCTTTGGAAAGGCAGATCTTCACGTGGCCAGGCTTACAACAAATTTTAATAAAACTAGCAATACAAGATAAGGTTTTTTTAAATATTACTACAATTTTACATTGAAATAACATTTGAAGTATATAACATTTAGGGAATAGTTTATTTGATAATGGCTCGTTAAGTAGAGGCTCGTCTCTGGGTTGACAGATATTCGCGCTGCCTCCTTACAACTAATTTAAAAAAAAACACAAACCCAAGAAAAATTATTTTTTAACATGTTATTACGGCAATGGTAAATTGAAATATCATTTAAAGAATATAACATTTTGTGAATAGTATTAGCGATAATGCCTCGTTAAGATGAGGCTCGTCTCTGGGTAAGCAGATCTTAGCGCTGCCTCGCTTACATCTATTTTTAAGAAATTAACCAAAACAAGAAAAAGGATTTTAAAAACGTTTTTATGAAAATTGAATATTAAAATATCAATTTAAGAATTTAACATTTAATGAATAGTATTATCGATAATGCCTCGTTGAAACGAGGCTTGAGTCTGGGTAGGCAGATCTTCGCGCTGCCTCGCTTACATCTAATTTAAGAAATCCACCAAAACGACAAAAAGGATTGTAAAAACTGGTATGCAAGTAGAACAAGGAACAAAAAATTAAAGGAGTAAACCAGCCTCCCGTAGAAAAATTAGTATCGGAAATACATGTCAATAACGGTTCGGCAACCACTAAAAGTTCCCAATACCCGCCTCATTACGTGAAAATACAATTATTAGAACGTTGATAATTCGAAATACAGGTGTATCAATTCAAGGATCTTAGAGGGAAATTTTCTTATCCGTATATGACAAACGATGAAATTTTCATAAAATACATGAATTTTGAAATACGTGTGTATCTAGAATTGATTTTTTTTTTTGCATAGTTATATGCAAGTGGTATATGATATATTAGAGTTTCTTTTTTGAGTTAAAAACTGAAGGTTGAAATTCGCAGTTAAAAATGTAGCATTTTCAAGCTGGTTATTATCAAAAGAAAAGCATCTTTTATGACTTAATCAAAAGAGTAGAGTACATACAATCTGGTGTGTCATTTTAAGCGTTTTGACACGAAAATTTAGGAGAGAGACCTTTTGAAATTGGCTATTATTTTTAAAACGTTGAGAATTCGAAATACAAGGGTTTATATTGAAGGTTCTCATAGGGCACATTTTTCATCCGTTGATGACAAACGATAATATTTATATAAAATACATGAATTTTGAAACACGTGAGTGTTTCCAGAATTGATTTTTGTTGCATAGTTTGTGAAATATGCGAGATTTTTTTAGTTAAAAAAAGGAAGGTTCAAAATCGCAGTTACATATATTGCATCTTTAAGCTAGTTATTATCAAAGGGAAGCATCATTTAAAACTCCCATTAAATAGAAAACATACAAACTCGTGTGCGAATTTCAGCCCTGTAGCTTGAGTAGTTGTGGAGATAGAGCCATTTGAAATTGACTATTATTGTCAGAGTTTGCGTCAGGCGAAAATACAAGGCTTTCTATTTAGGGTTACTAGAGGCAATCCGTTCTCATCCGTTTATGACAAATGACGGCATTTTCTAAAACTATAAGAAATTAGAAACACATCCGTGTCTCTAGAATTGAGTTATGATACATAGTTTGTAAAATATGCTGGTTTAATTTATGTGTAAAAAATAAAAAAAAATCGTCGATCGACGAAATTATCCGATTTTCGACATGTCACAAATTTGTCTGAAAACACGGATCTAGCACGAAATTTTATGGGAAATTCACTGGTAATACCCATTTTTCAGTTAAAAGCTTAGTTTTTATAAAATCGCAAACGTATCGCCATAATCTAAAACGGAGTCGATCTGGGCAAAAAGGCAGTTTTTTTATTATAAAATCAGTCTAAACAGAAAATGATACAGAAGATAACAATGTCTTTAAACACGGCAAAACCTGTCTAAGACGGAATCAATCTGGACAGAAAGGAAATTTTATAAAAGTGAAATTAGTCCGAAGAGCAATCTAAAAAAAGATTCTAAAAAAATGTCTTTAAACACAGTAGTTTGTCTAAGACTAAATCGATGAGAACAGAAAAAGTTTTTAAAAAGTGAAATCAGGCTGAGCAGAAATCTATTTAGAAGAAAACAATGTCTTCCCAAATAATGTCTAAATAATAATCAAATTCAAATGGCTCTATATCCTAAACTATTCAAGCTACAGCGCTATTATTCGCACACGAGTTTGTATGTACTTTATGGTTAATTTGAGTTTTAAATGAAGTTTCTCCTTTAATCAAAATTTGCTTGAAATGGAAAATA